GAGCACAGTTTGCTGTCCTCTGAAGATGCCGGCCACAGAGACTGGCGAAACGTTAGGAAGAACCACCTTCAGAACACGGCCAAGAAGCCCGAAAAACCCACAACAGCCATTAGATCCCGGCCGTGAAAGCCTTTGCGAATACATTAAGGGACCTGGCTTCCCTTTCAGCCATGGAAAGTTGGAAATTTATTTTTAGATTTGCATCCAAATATATAAACTAGTATATGCAAAGCGATTCAAACTACCCCCTTTTTTTGGAGATGCATTTCCTCTTGTTTTGATGAGGCATAAGCAAGAAAAATTGATTTCATTTAGTGCTGCTGCTGTAATAGGAACTATAGTATATAAATATGCTCCTTCTGTAGGTCCTCCTGCGAGATCCTACAGGTTCTGTTAAGCCGTGGAAAACAGGGTAGGTGGTGGACAGCAGTGGGGAACTTTCAGGTTAGCCCAAATGGGCTGGAGGAAAGCCATGAAAAAAATCCTCTATGTAGGTTTTGCGACTTTTGGGGCAGTTCTGACAGACAGCCACTGAAGATTATATTTTAACCTTCCTGAAAAAATCAGACTTGTACTGGGTTTTCTACATTAAGCTACCTCTGCTTGAGCCATGTTTGTGAAAAGTCTTTTCCCATCTTCTTTTGCCTCTTTGTGGCCATTCTGCCAGCCCCGCTCTTTCGCATCACCCTCCTTCCTTCACTGCCACCACTTCTTGCTTCCTTGTCCCCACCAACTCTGCCAACCCCACTGTTTCTCTTCCCTTTCCTTCCCTTACCCACACCCCCATTGCTACTGCTAGCCTCCTTGCCTCCCATCAGCTCTACCGCCCCCACTTCTAGTTGATCTACAGACTGCCCATGTACCAAACCTAAGTATCTTGCAAACAATACACACTTAAGGACTTGCAAAGATCTTACCTAAATGTAAAGGAAGGCAATTCAATAACTTCCTGGAGGAAACACAGCAATCAGTCCTACTAGAAGCCAGGGATCATTGCCAAATGTTCCCCGTGGCAACTGCCCACTTTTATATATTAGCAATAGGATGAGCAGGAAAAATTTTTTTGGTTCAGGTAGATTTTGCTGGTTGCTGAAGAAAGGGTTTTCTCTACACAGTGGGTACAGTAATTAATATTTTTAACAGAAGTGTTTTAAATTGTGTTTTTAATTTCGCTTTTTAAATGTTAGATTTTGATTTGCATGGGGCTGATTTTTAAAAAATCAACTTCATTGTGGCTGACTGTATAGGTCAGTGAATTAGGTATCTGGCTGTGGAGCCAAAGATTGGGAAGACTATTTCTCAATGTGTCTACTGGGAGACAAAGCAACCTGTGTAGACTTGGGCAAGCTATACAATACTGGGTCTCTCACACACACACCCAGAAGAAGGAAATGGTAAACCACTTCTGAGTACTCTTACCTGTGGACAAGGTTGAAACACACACACACAGAGAGAGAGAGAGAGAGATTTCACACAGTATTATAAGCAGCTGCAGATCTCAGAAATGACACTATTATTGGCAATATTAGGAAAAGCATACATAACTGCACCAATATTTAACAGATACTTAGGTTTTTTGTTAAAACTTGTATCTGTTATATAATACCAGTCAATGCTTTTTTAATTTTGATTAACTGTGTCTGATGTTTTTGAATAACAATAACAATAACAATAACAATAACAATAACAATAACAACAACAACAACAAC